CTCACTCCTCACTCTCTAATTTTCATTTCCAGTATCCAATAACAGAATTTAAAAGGCACAATCTCTCCCTATCTCTCTCCTGGAATTCAAATTTTGCAAAACAAAATGAAGCTCAAACAGAGCAGCAGCACCAGAGTGAATAAGAAAATCGAGCGAGAACCACCGTGCATCGTGAAGAAGCAGCGAAGCAAGCGTCACTTACAAGTCCGCTCCCAGATCTCACCAATTTTACTCTCCACTAATCTCTCTCTCAATAAGAACAAAGGAGTTTCTGTGGATTCGATCTCCTGCTCTCACTTCGGCGATGAAGTTTCTAGCGATTCGAGCCGAGTTACAGTTGAATCAAGTCTGATCAAGAAGAGAAAGTTCGAAGACTCACCGTTTCGGAGGATCACGAGATCATACTACAAGAACAAGGAGAAAGAGAGGACATCAGTCGAAGTAGAAGTGGGTGAATCTTCTTGCGTGGAGGATTCGAAAAATAGTAGTTCCAAAGGAATTCAAGTCAATTACACTTCTACCTTTTCCTCTCTTCACCAAAATCTCAATTCGAGGAAAACTTCCTCGGAGATTAAAGAAGATGACGCCCTGTCTGTGGCTTCAGGCGTGGAATCCTGCTTATCACGTAAAACGACGACAAACAGAGAGAAAGACCTCTCTGAGATTTCCAGAGACGATGCAGTTTCTGTTAATGAGTGTGTTTTAGAGAAGCAAAAGAAGCCAAACAGCTTGGGAGGAGGGGGAGGAGAAAGTGATGACCTGGCTTGTACAGAGGAGTTGCATGTGGACGACGGAGTTTCGGATTACTCGTCTTGTCAGGAGACTTTGTTCTCGGAGCTGCAATCGGAGATATTCCGGGAAAAGTATTCATCGGACGACCTCGATTTCTCTGATGATTACACGCCGTCTATTTTCTTCGAATCTGGAAGCGATTTTTCTGAGAAGTCCGTAAGTGATTCGAATCCTTCGCAGACTTATTCCCTGTTGCTCCAGTTTAGACAGCAATTCTCGCGATCGAGTTTACCTCTAGAAACTACAAAATCATCATCACTCCTTGAAGCAGAGCATCAAGAGAATTTCGCCGTGAGTTTTTGAATAAACAATTACTGTTGTTTTCGTGTTATTTTGCTGTGTTTTAATGCTCTCATTGTTTTTTAATTTGTTTAATTTCTGTGCTTTTCATTTGTTTTTATTGCTTAAGTTTGCGAGATTGGACGATGAGGAAGATGAGGAGAGCTACAAGAGATTGAGAGAAAGAGAGAGAAGGCAATTGTTTTTGCACGACTATCCTGAATTGTACCGTACCACCACGGAGTTCGGCGATCTCATCCTCCAGCAACGGTTGCAGATGGTACACTGGATTATCGAGGTAAGTTTTTTATAATTAATTGCGGTAGCTAACAAATCAATTGCTCGGATGCGGCGATTTTGCGACAGTTGCTATTTTTTTCTTGTCAATACACACACGTTTGAAGAAGTTGATTCCTTCTATTATGGAATATGGATGATGTCCTCTACACTGAGATTCTACTGCTGGAAGCGTTAAGCAAATGGGGATGTGACACGTCCTAGTTTGAGATTTTGGGTTTTGTACTTTAAAACTGACTGGTCTAGCAATTGTACCATTTGTGGTATGGTCAGTACCGTCCTTGTATTAGATTAAACTAGATTTTCTGTGTGGCTTTTTTTTTTTCCCTTCATATGATTTATTTATTTTTATATTTAAAAATATATTTAAAAAATA